TACTTTTTCGGCGTGATCAACAATATATGGCACCCTTTAAGTCTTTCCTGAAAGGTTCCTTGACTCAGCGTGAGATTTGATCGAGATATAGGGATTTTAATTTTTGCTAGTAACAGGCGAAAAACTGTTTTTTCATAAAAATGCCTGTGGCGAAGTTATATTTATTTCTACACAAAAACAAATGTTGCCACTATGTTTAGCGTAGTCGATTACCTATGTTCCATCGCATGTCGAGATTCCCAGGGATGTCTGCTCGGAGATAGACACGTGTTCGGGGAAAGCGAGCTTTATCCGAACGAAGATAGCTGGAGAGCCGGGACTTGCATAACTGTGTAAAGTAACGTCCGAACCATCCACGCATGCAAAAACGTTACTAAGATTGTATGTTAGTTTTCGGAGAACGGAGCTGGTTTACCAAAGATCTTCTGGAAACCCGATCTTTGAACTTTTTCAAAAGTTGTTGTCGCTTGCGAAAAGTTCCGCTCAAGTCTTGGCTATCAAATAGCAAAAATCTCAGGTCTCTATCTCATTCCTATTAAAAGTTATTCAAAAAATGCCCACCGGCACTGTATTTTGGAATGGCTAGTAGTAGTTTGTCTCCATGTTTAGCGATTCCAAAAACTCCTTTACTGTTTCTGGTGCTGTTAGAGGTACATCGCAGGGTAAAATTCTTCAGAATTTTTCATGGCTTTCTATTCAACAACTACTGCATGTGAATCGACTGCGTTTATTTCATAAAATTATCTAAATTATCGTTCATTCGGGAACGTAGGCGTGAGTGCAATGTTCTCATGAGGAAACATTTTCAACTGTAATACCGCATAATATAATTCGTGTTTTTCGATAGTTTTAGTTTGTAATACATACTATAATGGAATATTTTTCCGCTTGTATTCTGACAGAATAAAGCTTATACCAATTGTAATACCGATTTTTTCTTGAAATCTAGTAGACTATAGATTATTCACTACGCTGAATCCAACTATGATAGTGGTTTTTGCTAATAGCGCTTTCGAGATCCGGTTTTCTGGAACACCAGGTTCTCACAGTGAACAACTTTTTTTCACGAAAAACAACTTCTGATTCTTCTACGTTGTAGAGGGCATTGCAAAACCTATATAAAACCAGTTTTCAGAATTTTGAAACGTTCGCGGACGGCGCTAGAAGCATAACTTTCATCTGTCTCGCTATGTGCTTGGAAGTTCATGCAATGATTTTTCTGCTGTATTCATCGATAAGGAAGGAAAATATACAATTCTCTGTGACAAACGAGGTCTTCCGAAATACATTAAGTGCTGCTCAATCACTAGAACCGTATCAGAGTAAGAATGCACGAAAGACCTTTAGTATTTCAAGGGAAACCTGCTCTAGGCTGTAAATAAGAGACATCAGTCAGAAAGATGAAAGTTATGCTTCTACCGCCGCTCGCAAACGTTTCAAAAACCTGAAAACTGGTTTTATATAGGTTTTGCACATCGATATGAAAAGATTCGCTGACGCACATTAAATGTGAAATAGAACAATAAAGAAGAAAAGGAAAGTGAACATACTCTTGTTTCTACGCAAACTTTTTTTTCTTTTCTTCAGTGTCATTTTATGAATTTTCTTGCCCTGGAGCTTCTCGGTTCAGACAAACTTGAATGTAGTAAAATCCGATCTGTACGAGGATGCACGTTTTAGTTTTTTGTCCGACGTTGTTTACTCTTTCGTTCTTTTTAAATGTGAAATAGCAAAATAACGAAGAACAGCAAAACCAATGTGCTCCTCTTTCTACACAAACCTTCTGTAGAATCTTTTGGAAAAGGGGGAAAGGAATATACGTTCTTGGTAGCGAAGAGAGAACAACACATTTTTTTCAATACAAGGACAGAGAGAAATAGAGCGAATACATTTTTTTCTGAGAGCGAAGCAGCAAACCATAAAAGGTTGTCGTATAAAGAAACTAAAATGTTGCTGTACGCTTAAGTCATGTAGAGGAAAAAACAAAAATGACTCTGAAGAAAGGAAAAAAAAGGTCTGCATAGAAACAAGAGTATGTTCACTCTCCTTTTCTTCTCTATAGTTCTATTTCACATTTAATGTGCGTCAGCGAATCTTTTCATATCGATGTGCGCTTTCTGGGCTTGTTGTCGATTAACATCTTCATGTTTGTAGTTTTTTCTGTTTTAGATTTATTTTATTTCGAATTAAATTATGTCAAATGAATATGTCTCGCACTCAAGTGCAAAACTGAGCACTAATACGCCAGAAAAACAATCAAAGTTTCACGCTAAAACAACTGCGAAGGAAGTTGTCGAAGGTCTGAAAGCAAATTTAGAAGGAAAAGTTGTGCTTATTACAGGAGCAACTTCGGGTAAGTTATGTAGGGATATTCAATACATCGATTGAAAATACATTTTCTGGTTCTTCTTTGACAGGGATCGGTGTCGAAACTGCCCGAGCCCTGGCATCTATTAAAGCGCATATCATAATAACAGCTCGAGACATGAAAAAAGGTGCAGATGTGGTAGCTGACATTACAAAAACAACATCAAATCCAAATGTTGAAGTTATGGAACTTCATCAAGATTCGTTACAATCCGTACGAAAGTTTGCGGATGAGTACATACAACGAAAATTACCATTAAACATTTTGATATGTAACGCCGGTATCATGGCCTGTCCGTATCAAAAAACTGAAGATGGGTTTGAATCACAACTTGCAGTGAATCACCTTTCACATTTTCTTCTGACAATGCTTTTGTTACCAGTACTGAAGGCTAGTAAACCGTCGCGTGTAATTGTCGTCAGTTCGATAGCACACCGTTGGGGAAATATCAATTTTGATGATGTTAACTTTGAAAAAAGTTACGATAAATGGAAAGCTTATGGTCAGGCCAAAACAGCGAACATTTTGTTTGCAAAACAGTTTAGCAAGTTGTATGCAAATGAAGGGGTACAAGCGTTTTCTTTGCATCCAGGCGCGATTATGTCGGGACTACAAAAAGATCTTGCGAAGGAAGAAATGGATGCAATGGGATGGTTTAATGAGGAAAAGAAGGAAAAATGGAAAAATGTAGAAGAAGGTGCGTCCACAACAGTCTGGGCTGCTCTGGCACCAGAATTAAACGGAAAAGCAGGTGAATATTTAGAAGATTGTGCTATAAGCAGCAAAGGTGAACTAAACGAGTCAGATTGGGCAGGCATGGCCCCACACGCCTGTGATATGAAAACCGCAGAATGGTTGTGGGATTTAAGCGGCAAAATGACGGGTTTATAAAGGGGCGATGTGAATATTATAGACGCCACGCTCTGTTTTTATTTAGTATTTGTATTTTAACGCAATTGTAATAGTTGTTTTTCCTAGAACTCCTCCCAAGCAAAAGTTTTGTGTACACTCTTAGAAAATATTATGGAAACGGTGGTTCAAACCAACTTGCAACCGTCTTTTCTTTTTTATATAGATTCTGAAATTTCAATAAAAATGGAAACATATGCATTAAAGTTTGCTCTGCTCGAGTTTTACTAGAAAAATCATTTTTGCCTAGAACAACTTATAAAATGGGTTTCGTACTCTTACCATTTCTAACTTACACAAAATTTATTTGGTCCCTGAGTCACATATTTAGATAGTCAGAGTCATTCCAAACACTTTGGCAAAACTGTTAAAAAGTGTTTTAGTTCAAGTTTTAAAATAAGATTTTAAATTCCAAACCATTTGGCTTGGAAAATTTAGATCAGTTCAGTTTTAGCATAATAAAAAATGAAACATGAAACATATAATCCTTTTGCGTTAAAATTCTGAAAGAAGAGACATCTTTCTACAGAACGAGACATTCGCGCGCTCTTGGAGACGGATCATCGACAAGAACGTAATCCAAGTCAACTTTCGCGCCTCATTCGCGATCGCTGTCAAATCCCGCATATTGCGGCGCGATTGCACTGGATTCTTTAATTCGCGTATGAGCTTGACCTGATCTTACACTTAAAAAAATTGCTTTTTAAGATTCGGTGTACGATTAATGTCGCCCGGTCGCTATAGCTTCGTGATCTCGCAGTAGGACTTGAAAAATTGATAACTTTTCAAAAAGTCGAGTCAATATTTCTTAGCGCGATTGCTGTCTTATCGCTGTATAGCGGGTATTTGTAAAAAATGCGGACACCCATGGGCACTCACTGAGAAACCGAATTATGCTGAAGTTTTACTCATATACATTGCTCATTCTGCATTTTACGATTGAAAAAGAATCTGATGCTATCAACTATAAGTTATATTATATTTGTTCACACCGTCGTATACGTGACCATCAGCGTGTTGATCACGAGTATATAGCCTCGTGACAAAAAATAATTAAGAACATAACTTGACTGACGAACAAAAGTATGTTTTTGTTACCCGTCCTAAACATTTATAAGTAAAGACATTGTGTTATTTTGTTTGATAAAAACAAAGTTTGCGGCAGTGCAACGTGTAATCCAAATAAACTGACATGCATTATCTTTTATGCCTAAACGAATCTACACTTAAAATAGGATCATATCATGGCTACGGCGTATAACGAGTTGAGTGTAAATCTTATGAGACTCACCAGAAAAATGAAAGTAGTTCATTCAATCCTATAATAGTGGCGACAGCTTAACATTATTATAATGACTTTTCTACGAGGAATATTTTTTGTCGAAATTTTTTCAGTTTCCAGAAACTGTACACCACACTAAATTTCCAAGAACACCATCGATGATGGATTTTTAATATTCAAGGCTTTACCGAAATGTCAAGTTTATCTCAAAAAGACGTAGCAAGATACGTAAAAGATATGCAAGAAAAAGAACTTGTTGAGTGCCGGCAAAACCATTTAGTCAGGTACATCTCAGGTTCAACTATTTAAACCGTGCCTATAAGACAGTAACAGCCAAGATGTCAAGCCTCCCGTTAGCCGACTGAAAGAAAAGATTGCACGTAGTAGTTTAATATGTAGATAATCATGACTATTCACATAAACGATTCCAGCATTTTTCTGAAGCGGTTTAAAGTACAGATTCATAAAGCGATCATATTTTGATTTTTCATTAGGTAATCGTGTATATAGATATATATATGAAGTTTTATTTGTCCTTAGGACAATGGAAAAAGTGCAGAATCTGACGAAACTATAAAGCAGATGGCAATAATCCTGCAAATAACACAAGAAAAAGAAAATATCTGTTAAGCGGTTCTCGTTCTGTTTTTATGAACTCATTAAAAATATTAGAAGTGACAAAAATGGAAGAAGATGGAATAATTACGATGAAATGTCAAAGAATATTCATGATGTTCATATAATATTCATGGTTCTTATTTTATTGTTCTATATAACGAAACATGCCATTATGATATTTGAAAAGATGATGACGGTGTTTGGTTATCAAATAGTTCAACTACTGACTACTCCTTTGAAACCAAAATGGATTCATCGTCCCGATTTTCTATAGCTCGTATTAACGTTGATGGTTCATGGTTCATGTTGTTATAAACTTTTATTTGAGAGAAGGAAGTGTGAAAAACTTCAGTACAAATAATGAAAAGACGGAGGCGAACCTATTACATCTTTACATATTGACTGAGGACAAAAGACAGGACAAGAGTACATGATAAGAACGATACACAACGACAACAAAAAACAAAAAAAAGACAAAGGAAAGACAACTAAAGAAGTAAAGAGAGAGAGAAAGGAGAAAAGAGTGGTTCATGTTCATATAGAACCAGACATGGGCGTCAATATGTTGAACATACTGCAACAAAGAATGAATTAATAACTACTCAACGATGTTCTTATTAGAATAAATATAACCCTGCATTTCGTCGACTTGTAACAAGGAAGTAAACATCATTTTCCGATTTTCATTCACTATGTTTGGATGGGGTAAAACGCAACATTTCGACCAAATGGTTTCCATGGAAATGCCAAAAGAAAAAGCGATTGCTTTTCAATCATGTACCACATCAACATTACATGAAATTCAGGATATTTCTTATTGTCAAAAACCATCCACTGCATATTCACAATTACTTAATGACGATGGCAGTTTTGATGATAGTAATGTTCCATCTAGTGTTTCAACAACAGTTCGTGATAAAGATCAAGTTTATAATTTAAGAAAAAGTATCGTTGATATATCTTTGAAAGATCATTTCCAACTAATGAATAAAAAAGCTAGCAGTGAACCAGGTGGATTTATTTTATCGCTTACAGTTCATCGTGGCTCTAGCCCAATGATAATTTTATCTTCTCCAGATCATGAAGAAGAATTGTTGTAATGAAGAAGCAGACGAAAATTCTATATTGGGTATCGACACTACCTTTGATCTAAGACCATTTTTTGTAACGACAACAACTTTCAGAAATCGTTGTGTCAAACAACAAAAAACAGGTATAAATTTTAATCATGTCTGGTCCAACCTTGATTCATTATCGCCAAGATTACGATACTTATGCACATTTAATACTTTATATAAACAAATAACATCAGAAATACAGTTAATTGCAACTGGAAGTGAGGATGAATCTGGTCTATATAAACCGATATCTTTACATTTACCGGATACAACACATGTATTATGCACTCGTCATTCTGTGAAAAATCTTAAACTCAAACTAAGAAAATTAAAATACTAATAAAATAAATAAAATCTAATGATAAACTACAAAACAATCTTCTGATTGTTTCTGATTGTTTCTGATTGTTATCTTTACAGCGTTTAGGAGAATTTCGTCTAGTTGGTGATTTTAAAGAAATTCAAATATTATAGTATTGTATGGACTAGTAAAACAAATGAGGAATGTGCATTAATAGTAAACAGGTTTCATGAATACCAGTTTCTGTCTAATCGTTCTCCACCAAGACAGTTAGCTATATCAACATCTGCAAGCAAAAAGCCTCATACGTCATCCAGAAATACAAAAACGACAGCAATAAAAGAAAGAAAACGCTAACTAATATTTTTTAACTACATATTCTTACGCCATTTTCAAAAGCTATGAAGCAACTATTATATTGTATAAAAGTGGTAATGCTTTAGACCGATCAAATTATCGGCCTATTACATTACTAAAAGCATTGTCAAAAATTCCAGAACGGTTAGTGCACCGACAGCTATATCGTCACTTAATTAGGAATAAGTT